TCAGTTGCATTTTTACCTTTCTTGAAACAATAAAGCATAATACACCAGAAATGTTGCAAATTTTCTTCCATCTCAATATTAAAATGGCTACACAAAAATTCACCCATTTTGATAAGTTTTTTTTTAAATGCACATTGATATGACAGCTGTCACAATACACTCTAACAAAATAGTTTTGATTGAATTAAAGACAGCTAAGCGCTACTAGAGCCATCTTACAGAAAAAAACAAACATTCTTTTTGGCCAACCCAGTAAGTCATTTGGGTGTTTTTCTCCCCAAACACCCAATATATGAGAAAGGGATAGAAGAAGAGTAATAGAACTCCCACTCAAAAGAAGTGGGAGGGGATGGAGGCATGTGGCAATAAAATGACACTCAGAAACTACGCAAATGTTTGCATCTGCTTGCGTCTGCCGTGTTCCAAAACTCCACTGTCACTAGATGTGTTACATTCTGTTTACCAACTAAGATAGATATTCGAAGGCCATTTTTCTCAAAAATACAGTATCACCTACCCTCATAGATTTTAAAAATAAATACCCAACACATCACATCATGAAACCACATGTCTGCAGAGGCTAAAAGGAGCTCCCAGGGGCAAGGAATATGAAATAACCACATGGTATATGTACATGGTTTAGTCATTTTGCTTATAAAGTATCAAAACTAGGCTACAGGTAGGAGAAATCAGTTCTACACTGAGATCATCTTAAAATTACATTTTCAAAAGCAACAATTTCATATTGTGCTATGCCCCTTACATGACAGAAAAGAGACTAAGTAGAGCAACTTAATCTTCTAAAAACTCCAAAAGCTGGAATTCCTTCAAGTAACATTTATTTGATTGCTGAGCCATACCTAATTTTCGTTAGGTCAAACTTTTAATTACAGTCTTTAATTAAAAAGAAAGTCAATCAGTTTACTTAATTTCTATCACCTATATCCTGTTCCCTTGTGATACTTCAAATGGGCAGCACTTTGAGCTTCAATTTTATTTCTTTTAGTACCTAACTAAACATTCCCAGTTTAACTAAACAAGTCGAAATATTGAAAAGCAGCCCTGGCTGGTGTGGCTCAGTGGATTGAGCGCCTGCCTGAGAACCACAGGGTCACTTACTGATTGAGTCCCAGGCAGGGCACATGCTTGGGTTGTGGGCCAGGGTCCCCAGTAGGGGGCGCTCAGAGGCCACCACACATTGATGTTTCCTTCCTTCCCTTCCCCTCTGTCTAAAAATAAATAAATAATATCTTTAAAAAAAAAAAGAAATATGGAAAAACAATTCTGAAGCTGTTCTGATCCCTCTATTTCCAGTCCCTGGGGATCCATGATCTAGAGATCGACTGTTCCCAATTGGGGGTCATTTTACTCCCCAGAGCAAGCACCTCTGGCAACATCTGGCGACATTTTTAGTTGTCACAACTGGGGGTACTATTGGAAACTAGTGGGTAGAGGCCAGAGATGTTGTTAATAGTCATCCAACAATAAAATCCCCCCACAACAAAGAATTATTTTGCCCTAAATATCAATCGTGCAAATTCTGAGAAACCCTAGTCTAGATGAAATTCCATTATTTTCTTCATAGGTGATACAATATAACAAAACATACTTCAAGCACCAATCCCAAAACACCATCAGAATCTGACTACTTAAGCCACTCATTCAATAAATATTAGAGTAATAACTAGGTGGCAGATATTGTGAAAATAGAAGGAAACAAAGACAATCATTGTCCTTTGAACAGTGGAGACAAACAGCTGGCACAACCCAGGCCCTTACCACAAAATTTGATGCTGCCTGTTATCTACTCCTATTAAGAACCTCGTTGAGAGAAGAAGTGGGTGAAAAATTTGTAGGATATGTGGTCCATCAGTCACGTGAAACCAATGACTAATTTGCCATGGGAACCTTGCACACGTCTCTCAGGACAAGGTTCTGAGTATTTGAAACTACCTGTCAATTTCTTTTAGAAGTTAGCATTGGAATGCTCCTTCCTCTCTGATGACAACTGTGTAATTATTTGTCTCCACTCTGACTGCCGAAATCATTTGCAGAGATAAGAAAGGCCACTATCTCCACTATGTCTGCGGCCCTTACCACTGTGTTGCCCTATCTCTAACCCAGCTGGTCTTAACGAGTATTTTTGTTTTCCCTGTTCTGGATTCTCTAGTTATTTATACTTTTCCATCCTTTTATTAAATCTGTTCTTGCCTTAAGTTGTCTCGATTAATGTATAAAACGTGGTCAGGTATGAATAAAATTAAGAGTAAGGGGAAGCCGGGAGATCAGCCAGAGACCCCTCTGGGTGCGCAGAAGCTATGCTGAGATCCCGGCACTGAAAAGCGCAGAGCTGCTGCAGGCAGGCGCGGGAGGGGACGCAGGGGGTGAGACCCCTCTGGGCACAACCACGGTCAGAGCACGAGACCCCAGAACCCCTCCCTGTCATCTTGTTCCCTGCACACCATCTCTTGTGCTATAAATGTGAACTTTTAACTACGCTGTGCCCACTGATATAAAAAAGCACATGCAGGCTTCTAGAACAGTTTTGGGCTAGTGCAACACCCCTGATGCCCTTAACCCCTTGGAAAGGGAGATGACAAACTTTGAACGAAGAAAGCATGGGTGCCTGACTAGCAGCTCTGCAGGGGTCACTGGGCAGGAGCGGGGGTGAGAACCCCCCACCCCCCACTCCCCACCTGTGGTCTGCACAGCTGCATCCCCTGCCCCGTGTCCCCAGGCATGCTGCCCCTGCCACCGCCCCACCTCTGGCCTCTTTACAGCCTCAGGTGACTTCTGCGACCCGCTTGTTGGGCCAGAATAACCTCCCCTTCCATTCCCTCTGCCCTGAAGGCTTCATGGCCTCATTTGCAAGGAGACTGAGAATAGTTCTTTCCCAAATGCTTGCCGCAGTGAGGATGGCCAGGTGATTGACAACTCACACCCTTGGGATGTCTTCACCCAGTGTATCTTCAAGTGTCCTCGAAGCTACACAGGCCTCCACCGTGAGGCCATCTGCACCGCGCCTCTGGGCCTGGAGACAGTGCCATCACGCACTGGCAGACCTCTGCCTCGTCTGTGCACTTGGGCTTCATGAGTATGCAGCGCTGGGCCCCGGGGCTGGCCTGCCTGCGTTGCACAGGCATTGTCAACGCCTGGACAGCCAGCAACTACGATAGGAACCCCTGGATCCATGTGAAACTGATGTGCAAGATGCAGGTGACGGATGTGGTGACAGGGCACCAGCCGTGCAGGCAGTGCTGAGCGGAGACATTCAAGGTGGCTTACATCCTCAATGGGGAAAAGTTCCGGCTCATCCAGGGAGAAGGGGACTCAGGAAATAAGGTATTTATGGGTAATTTTGACCATGGCCTGAAGGCCAACACCTTTGACTTCGCTCTAGAGGTGCAGTAGTATGTAAGGCTGGTGCCCAGCATCTGCCGCCGAGGCTGCACCACCCTGCACTTTGAGCTCCTTGGCTATGAGTTGAATGGATGTGCCGAACCCCTGGGCCCAAAGGGCAATGTCATCACCAACAAGCAGATCACAGCCTCCACAGCTACAGGCCCTGGGGCCTGAGTTCCTTCAGCTGGTATCCCCTCCAAGTGCACAAGTTCAACGCCTGGACTGCTGAGAAAACTGCCTCCAAGTGGCTGCAGTTTGACTTCGGCTCTGAGAAGTGAGTGAGCAGCATTATCATGCAGGAGGCCTGAGACTCGGGCCACATCCAGTATGTGGCAGCCTACAAGGTGGCCCACAGTGACGATGGCATGAACTGGGCACAGTACAGGGAGCCGTAGACAGCAAGGTCTTCCCAGGCAACACGGACAATGAGTCCCACAAGAACATGGTTGAGAAGCCCTTCCTGACTCACTTTGTGTGCATCCTGTCTGTAGCCTGGCACAACCGAATCACCCTGTGTGGGGACTGCTGGGCTGTTAGTAGGCCTGGCTAAAGTGACCGGGATGGCCAAGGAGCACCTGCCCCTTCTCCGGTCGGTCCTCCTGACATTCTGTGGACCTCTTGCCTCCTCCATCTGTCCTTGACTCCTGATGATAGTGACCTGGGCGGGGCTTCTGTCACTTCCACCTCCCTCCATCCTTCTCCGCCTCACCCCCCACATGCCCCCCTCCCACCGGCCCCTGGCGCCTGGCCCTCATGTCGTCCCATTTCCTTAGGTGCTGTGGGAGTTGAGTAAGTCTGAGATGGACAGGGAAGAGCGAAGTCAAGGGTGTGGGTTACCTGCACCTCTCCAGATCCCTAATTCCAGGCTGTGTCCTCCACAGGTGGCCTCCCACACCCCCGCCCCCCATGGCCCTGAGGCCCTGGGCTGGAGATAACAGTCTCCTGCCTCTCAGCCCTGAGGCTGCCGCTCCCAGCTCTGGGACCTAGACTCTGACACTCTCTCTGGTCTCCTCGGAGACCCTGCTTGACCCTGGTGCTGCAGCCTAGAAAGAGAGCAGAGGGGCTAGGCTGGGTCTGTGGAGAGACAGGAGGAGGCCGGTGGGCCCGGGGACGCTGAGTGGGGCTCTTCGCTGGAGGGTACACAGACAGCTTTCAGAATATATCGCTCAACAAAACAGTGACAAGAAAAAAATAACAGTAGTACTGCTAGACATATGTAGCAACTGCTTTCACAGTTTGCAGGAGACCCTTAATGCAGGCAGTGAGGGTCACAGAAAACTTCCTGAAAGGGCTCATGACTGAGCCGAACACTGAAAGGTAGACTAGGTGTTACTTTAAATAAAGATTTGAGGGCGAGGAAATGTTCTAGGCCAGAAATAAAAGCAGGTGACAAGGCACAGAGGTGAGAGAGAGCCTGGTATACACAAGGAACTGCAAGTGGCTTGCTTCTGCCAGAACAGAGGGAGCCTGGGGGACTGGTGAGCCGTGACTCGGAAGACGGAACTCTGGCCGAAGACGCATGGGAACCGTCAGGCGTTTGCAACAGTCTGGGGTAGGAAATGAGACGCCCATGAAGGATTGACTCCATCCGTGTCCGCACACATTGAGCGCCTTTAATTAGTAAAACACCCTTCAAGTGATTAGAAAGGAAAGCACACCCTATCCTGCATCCCGTTCCCCACTCCCGTCCCCTTACCGCCATCAACGTTCGCATCACCTGGGAAAACGGAGTCATTCGCCAGTAGGTCTGAGAGGAGTTAAGTCCATGGTCTTTGGACAAAAACCTCAGAATCCTGATTCCCAGATTTCCCAGCCTCCTTTGCATGTGATATTATCTGGACTTACAAGCAGGTCCAATAAGAAAAACTAAGAAACTCTGACAGCTATTCACCTCACTCCAGACAGGCAGCGTGCCGCGGCGACTATGACTTTATGTCTCCAATGGCTCCCAGCACAGTTTCTAACACGGAGGTAAAACTGCCCAGAGCCTCAGTTCTCGCCTCGCTTTGCTTCACCGAGATCTGCATGGCCGAGGTCTCGGGTTCCCACAGCAGCTCTGTCAGGAACAGACAGCCGGTGTCGTCCTGGGCGCTGAGGTAGGCCTTCCATGGCCGCGCCCCCGCCCTGCTCACCGCGATGGTCTGGATGTTCACGACTTGCAGGGCCATCTGGAGTGTGTCAGGACGGATGGCTCCCTGCCAAGGGAGCGCTTGCTGATGAGCAACCTCGAGGCCAAGCCAAGTTCTCTCAAAACTCTCAGCAGGGAGGTGGTGGTTGGGGACGAGCACGAGGGCTCCGGAATCGGGGAGTTCTTGTGCCTCCTCCTTGTCCTCTTCAGGGATCAGGGGCCCTAAATGAGCCACAGAGTTTGTGTGAGAGAAGTTCTTAATTTACAGAAACCACATTTTTTTATACCTAGGTTTCCAAATGTACATAACATGACTTTTATCTTTGCGTAAATGGCTCAGATGGCCAATGATGAACTTCCTTCTTGCTCACGAGCTCAGGCAGCAGTCTGAGATTTAGCTAGGGTATTCTACTTTCTACCAGTCACTGCAAAAGATAACAATTTTTTGTGACAAGATATAAAGTAAGGACTATGTTACCTGATGCAGCAAAGGATGCAGGGTTGGGGAGCCCGGGGCCACGGCGCTCTGCCCCCTGGCATTTAGAGATGGTGGCCCAGCGGGCTTTGCCATACACTGGCACTAGCGTGTTGAAGTCAGAGGCCCAGCTATTCACAGGTCTTTCTGCCTGATCCTCCAGAAGTCCAAGAGAAGGGTCGGACTTAGGGCTACACAGGATCCGCTTAACTTCATCAATGCCCGCTAAGAGGAGGCGGTAATAGAAGAGACCTCGGTCCCGTACTGCCATATCCTTTTCTTCCTCTGAGGCAAGACAACAGACTGAGGTCATGAAAAACAAAAACAGACTCCTCCTACCCCTGTGCCAACCAAAACAGAAGGAAAAAATGAAGGCTAGAGGAAACCCTAGAAAGCATTAACATTTTTGTCTTGGGTCCCAGCCATGATTTGCAGAACAAGGAAAGCCGTGGGAATTTTTATTACGGGTCACGGCAAGTCCTCTTTCCATTTGGAGGACCTACCTATGCAGTAAGACAACAAACGCCCCAGCATGTCCTGGCACTCAGCAGGCCGCGAGAGGAAAAGGCGCAGCAGCGCCGTGAGCAGCTCCATCTTAACAGCTGGAAACATCTCCGACTTCACGTTCTCTACGAAGTCTTCCAACACGTAAGGAGCATTGGGGATTCTCTCTCCGTGGACACCAAGTAGCCAAATGAGCGCTTGCTTCCCCTGGGGAATGAAGGAATAAAAACAAGTGCTCAACCTTTGGTTGTCTACATCACAGGAGATAGCACACAGTTACAGGTTTTGCTTTCTTCCTAGTGTCACCAAAAAAGTGTCATCTTTTATTTATTTCAACTTGCACTGTGTCGATCCCGCCTCCTGCACTTTCTACATCAAATAGAAATGAAATCCTACTGCACCAAAGGAGACTCAAGACTCTTAGGGTCTATGCTGATGTAGCAGTGAGGCTTCCTCAGCCTTGGGGCCTCTGCCCCAGTCTGGGTTTAGTGTTTCAGTGGAAACTACTGAAAAATTCCTCTAAATTACTTCATGATTATGAAGGAATCATGGCAATTAACCTAGAGTGCAAATCAGAGTCCTCTGTGAGGCTTCTTAAAAATATGTATCGAAGTCCCTCACTCCTGCATATTTAAGTCAGTAGAACTGGGGTGAAGCCTGGACACTTGTAAAAATTTGGCAAATGATTTTGACTTTCATTCCAGCTGCAAACTCCATGATCTACATTTGACTCAAAACTATTCAAGAGAACAATGGTATCCAAGTATTTGTAACAAAAACCATAGATAGATCCTAATGTTTTTATAATTTATATCCCATCTGCACCTAAAAGAGACTCTGAGGTGGCAATCAATTCTAAGAATCTCCACGTCAGGCACTGGGTAGAAAGAGCACATAGATTCCATTTCAGAGGGCCGGGTCCCATGCAGGGTCCCTTGGCCTCCAAGTCAAGGAGAGTTACTACCTCGCTGTCCTGAATGGTATCCTCGCAGCCGGGCAGGGCCTGACACACGGCGTCCGTACACTGAGGACACAGCCACACCAGGTCTCGGAAGGTCTGCACCACCACTACGGCACAGCTCAGGACACAAGAGCACAGGATTAGGGCCTCCACGCAGGAAGAAAGCTCAAGAGAAGTCCTCTGTCCAGACTAGAGTTTAGGTGGATTTCTTTAAATGGAGGTTGGAGGGGTGGTTGATGATTCTCTGAGAAATGTCTGACGTGGGCAATGATTTCTGAAGTGAATGTCACTCTTATCAGAGCGCCAGGGAGATAAATGACCTAACGGATGTGAAAGCCCTTGGTAAGAAGGTAAAGCTGTACTCAAATTGGGGTAGTGTTGTTGAATGACACTCCGGAGACAGCAGAAATGGAGCCACCAGGGCTGGGACTATGGTGAGCCCAGCAAGGAGCCAAGGGTGTATAATTTAGGAAGACACGCAGGGCTAGACTCGCGCGAACCCGAGGAGAGCCTCTCTAAATTTTTGCACCCTCAGCACTTTGCTTGCCTCACCCTAGTCCTAGCCCTGGAAGCCACTGCTTTCATTATGCTGTTATTGCAAAAAGAGATGTAAAGGTGGGAAAATAACAAGCCAGGTCGTCCTAAGTACCCTTCATCATCTACAGCACAGCCTGAGGCCTCCTGGCCTCCTGAAGACTCTCCCCTATTAGATACATAGATACTATGCTTCTTGGAGCACAACAGGTGATGATGCAAAAAAAAAAAAAAAAAAAAAAAAAAAAAGGTTTAAACATCTATGTCATTCAACGATAAGTATTTTTTGAGCAACTCCTTTAGGCCAGGCAAGTGACAAAAAAGTCCTAGAAAGGTAGCCATTACCTGTGGTAATGTGCTCTTGTCGAAGCCCCAGCAGCTCTGTTAGTATCTGCACACACTGATCTGTGTAGGTCCTGGCGATGCCCCCTACAGCGGGGGAAAAGCAGAGAAGATTGTTAAGTCAGATACTTGCCCCTCATTCTAAAATAATCTCCCACCAGCCAAAGACAAAGACAACCGGAGATACCTAAAAACATCACCCCTTGCTTGATGAAATATGAATCTAAGTTTGCTATAAAGAGAAATTTGGTAAAAATGTATCTGCTTTTTGTTTGTTTTTCATAGACCAGTTCAAAACTGAAAGTTCATGGAAAAGGAATTCCCCACAGACCAAGGTTGAAAACTCTCAGTCACAAAGGAATACCTCTGGCAGGCAGCGATGAGGCAGCTATGAGTTGGATGCAATACACCTGCACTGGGCGTTCCTGCTGGGAACCCTCACCTGCAGCCTCCGCACTGCAGGATTTCCACTCTCCTTCTTGTTCCCTTTTCTCTGTCTCCCAAACAGCCTTGCTTTATTCTACACAGGAGGGTTCCTTCTTCCCTTCCACGTGAAGCTCTCCAAAACTTCGCTCCCCAGCTGCTTTCGCTTTGTGGGTTACTCTAGCCTTTCAAACCCCCAAGAGAGTAGCATGAAAAAGCCTGTATGGTTGAGGATGTATTCTGTGTTGGTCCCTACTCAGCACAATACAGAGTCCACAGTAGCTGCTCAATCAACGACTGGTGACTTCACACAGGACTTTGAGTCAGGGAAGCTGGGTTCCAGCCCCAGTTCAGGAACCATATGACCTTTGGCAATTTAATAACCTTTCGATGCCTGAGTTTCTTCATCTTTAAAATGAAGCTAATAACACTTGTCCATTTTTCCTGACCGCCTCACAGGACAGTGGCAAGATGATGAACAGGAAAACACTTTGGATAGTAGACAACAAAAGGCAATATAAATTTTAAGTATTATAATTTGAGTGACCTGTATTCTCTATCCTGAAAGAGATGGCAACACCAGGGTTGACCCAAAAAACCTTCCTTCCCTCGTTCGTCATCACCGCCCCAAGTCTTTGGTGCGTGGTGCTCTGTCTCTGAAGTAAGATTCCTTCCCTATAGCTCTCTATGGTTCCACAGCTTTCTGGCGGGGTGGTATAGGCTGTCAAAAAGGAAAGGCAGCAGACGCCTACCTATGGCAGAGATGGCGGCCTGTGCAAAGTCAGCAGACACGTCGGTGCAGTACCCTCGAAGCTCCTCCAGCACCTGCTGCACGTTCTCATCGTTCACCAGCTCACACAGCACCTCCACCTTCTGTAGCTTGATGTAGTGTGGCTCCGAGTAGGAGCAAAAAAACTTTTTGTAGTGGCTGCTGAAGTGACCTGGCAAACTATGCAAGATCTGGCGCACGTGACAGAGGGCAACAAAACAGAGCTCGCGGCTCTCCGAAGAACAGGCTGCCAGCAGTGGTCCCTTGACTCGCACAAGCACATCCGTTTGTACGTGGGGGAATTTTTTTGCCAAGATCAGAAAGAGCTTGGCGGCTCCCATCACCACACTTGGGCTGCTGCTCTTGAGAAAGCTGTCCAATAGATTAAGAATGTCAAACAGTTCCTCTTCACTGCGGGGCTGGTAGCGTAGCAGGAAGTTCAATACTTCGGCCTGACCCCATTGGTCCAGCTTGGACATTCTAGCCAAAAAAGAAAACAAAAGTGCTATTTTAGCAACAAAATTAGGACCATCTCCATGCTACTGCCATGTCACCAGTCATCTGTTCTCGTAACAAAGGGAGACTTCCTAAAAATAGGCTGTACCGTAAACAAACTACTTTTTTTATGTACTATCTAAGGTTTACACAAAATAGACTTTAAATTCCAAGACGAGTTTACAGTACACTCAAATGCCCAAATGCACACTCACCTACGGCCAAAGACATGATTGTGATCACTTTACCCTAGGTCCCCTACATTTTAAGACAGCAGAAATAGCTTAGGGGTCATAGTGACTGCAGAGGGGGACAGAGCCTATCCCCACAGAATGTTTCTGCCATATCACCAAAAGGACCTAAGGTAAGTGAAAGAAATTCTCTCGGCACAATATGAGGAAGTTCACAGTTATGACTAACTTTCTTTACTACTCTGCGGAAGGTATCCAAGGCCTCGTCTTAACCCAACACACTGATAAGATCCCCCTAGGATGCAGATCTCATCATAATGAAAAGGGCACCGAGGTGAGGCATCCAAACCGATTTAAGAGATGGTGGGCGATGGGCTTATTGATGACAACACCTCCTTCCTGTTTCAGAATTTCCTCTAGAGACCTCAAGCAGTTCACCACCACAATTGGATCCTGGTCACGCAGCAAACTGTATAATTCATTTACCAGGGCACCATCTATAAAAGAGAACAGAGACCTCAGATAAAGAAGAAAAGTTTCAGCCCTGGCTGGTGTGGCTCAGTGGACTGAGCACTGGCCTGAGAACCAAAGGGTCACCAGTTGGATTCCCAGTGTAGGGCACATGCCTGGGTTGCGGGCCAGGTCCCCAGCAGGGGGCATGCGAAAAGCAACCACACATTGATGATTCTCTCCCTCTCTTTCTCCCTCTCTTCTCCTCTCTGAAAATATATAAATAAAATCTTTATAAGAAGAAAAGCTTCAGAGTCAGGGAAGAGAGCCACAGTAAAAGCAGAGCCAAAAAATTGCCATCTCCAATCTATTCTAAGTAGCTAAGGCAAAGGATCTCACTCGGGGCAAAGAAAGGACTCCTCTAATCTCAGAAAATATCAAGCCTTGCCTCCCACTTAAAGGGACACCACTTAAGGGACATACACAGAAACAGGGCCACATTATTGTTCTCTACCAAAGCTACATAATCTTTCACAATGTCATACATATAGAGCAGCACAAATAAATATTGATTAGGATGGATTACACTGAAACTTACCCACTTCAGAGTCTCCATGAAGATTATGCATCTTGGCACAGCCAAGGACCGCCACCCTCCTGACATACGAAGCCTTATCCCGCAGACCAAGGAGAACAGGCTGTTGGATGTACTCCTGCACACCAGGCATCCTAGGAAACACATCCTGGCATTAGCCAGATCCTGAAGTCTTAGATTTGACATAATTCACCCCCTAATAACTTAACAGAGGATTTAGTGGATGTCTGAATGCGCATCTATCAGCCTATGAATTGGAGAAAGCTGCTGCCAAACTTTAAAGGCATCCTTTTCACTTGGAATAAAGCTGCACAGGCAGCAAAATACACACACACACACACACACACATGCATGCAGCTGTTTAGAAATCTTTAAATCAAACTAAGAATTATTTCACGTAGAGTGAGGATGAAAAACTCTGCCTAATGAACCTGTATGACATAGGTTTGCAGGCTGAAGTAATGGCTGAAAGCCTGTGTTTTCAGGTTACAACATTGTTTTCCCCAGGATGAAGGAGCTCAAGTAAATTATCATTAAAAACCTGCCCCCGACCTCCTAAATTCATCAGCCCCTGAGAAATCCGGAGAGAAGAGAGTGCTCACCTGAGGCTACACATGCTCCGCAGCGCCAGCCCTCGCACCATCGGGTTGGGGTCCGAACAGTCTTTGCACAGTGTGTTGATGGCCAGGAGGGCCAGGTCTGGCTTCAGGGGGGCATATGTGCACATGTAGTGATAAACCAACTTCTTCTGAACTATATCTACAGTGGCACTGGCCTTTACCATTTCCATGAAAACACCAGACATGTCCACGCCTTGAGTCATGTGCCTGAAACCAAGACACAGAGCAGGAAGAAATAAAATACTCAATTCCCACCCTACCATGGGCGGTGCTTTATACTTGTCCTGGTTATCCAACTAGATTGCGATCTCTGAGAGGGAAGTAACCAGGTCCACCTTGTCTATTATGTCACACCAGGGGCCTGCAGTAAGTATTCTTCTAGTCATTCAACCAATACTTATTGAATTCCTAGTACATTCCAGTGAAATCCAGCTTTTACATTCCAGGGATACGCCCTGGGACATAATCTTGAAAAAGGTATGGATTCATGTCTTTAGGAATTCAAAGACTACTGAGGAGCCAGACAAGAACACCAATAACTACAGTACAATAGATAGAGGTCTAGTATTGCCAGGAAATTATAAAATGTCTCCACAGAGGGAATAATAGCTGAATCAGCAGGACTCACCAGGCAAGTGTGGTGGATAGGTAATGATACATGTCATGTGGCATGTAGACATGAACAAGAATGGTACCTTCTTTTGAGTCTACAGGTAGAGTTAGCCCAATGTTCCTTGGGTGCTATGATTAAAAAAAAAATTGGACTTTATTCTGTAGACCACCATTTCTCAATCTATGGTCTTCTACAGGAATTAGATGGGAATATTTGTCTAAAATGCAGATTCCGGGGTTCCATTCGACGCTACTGAAATAGCAACTACTGGACTGGATGAAAAATCTACACTTTTTTTAAAGCACCCCAAGGGAATTTTGTTCATACTAAAGTTTGTGATCCACAGCTGTAGGCAAGACTTCCATGTTCAAATTCATATGTTGGAAAAATCATTCTGCCTGAAATGAGGGGACAAGGTGGCCCGCTCCTGCAATTGCTTGGAAATGAAACCAGAACAGAAAAAAAACAATCGTTTTTTTTCAAAGGCTGGATATTTAGAAAGAACTCTGAATCCGTCTGACTTGAGAAGTGAAGATCGGGTGTCACCAAGATGGGCCTTTGGTCAGCTGGGCAGCGACATTCATCACCACACATATATGTGGAAGAGCAGGCTTGGGGCGGGAAAAGGACGTAGGTGCTATTTTGCATGTCTTTGAAGAAACATCCAGGCAGAAATGCCAAGTAGGCAGAGCATGTGGGCCTGAAGATAAAAACGGTCTGTACTAGGTATGTTACAGGTCTGGGAGTCGGTAGTTTAGGTTCAGACACGGATGAAGCCAGCCCGCTGAACAACCGAGGTGAAAACTAAGCCTCACGAGGGAGACCGAGGTGGCACTCCAGGGATTTGGAAGCAGGGAAGCGCTCCAGGGAAGCAGGAAGATTCGACTCCCAGCACTGCCTCGTGGGAAAGCGCATTTACCCCTTCGGAGGGCCACCGGCCCGGTGGGCCCTGCGGTGGGGGTGAGGGCGTTGGCTGATACCTAATCACTCGCTGGATGACATTCCGGTAGCGCAGCCTGTCGGCCTGAATGTGAGGGTTACACAGAGCCTTCTTCAGCTCCTTCACCACGTCCTCGGAGCCGAGGTACGGCATCTTCGCGGTCGCTCTCGGGGCAGGCCCACAGCCCCGACGTGGGAACCTGGGTGAAGCAAGTGCCAGTGAAGCGACTGGACGCGGGATCTCGCAGCGGCCGTGGGCCCGGCACACTCAAGCTTCGACCCCCTCTGCCCCCGGCGATCCCCAAGCCCACCTCCGCAGGCCCTCGGGTTCCTTCCCCAGGGCTTGCCGGCCGGTTCTCCGCCCACAGGTCTTCCCTCTACCTTTAAGCCCCCAGCGGGATTTCCAGTCCCGCAGGCCCCAGTCCGCAGACCCCACCCTGTCTCTCGGTTCCAGCCTTTCTGGCGCCTCCACGCGGTTGCTGTCACCGACCGGTCCTATCACGTTTTCTGCGGAAGTCCCGCCTCCCCCTCCAGAGACCAGGCAGAGCAGCTGCCACTCACGTTCTCCTAACGAGAACTGAGCGGAGCCTGGGCTTCGACCTTAGGGGTGCCCTTCCCCCAACCCCTCACCTCCGAGTGCGGCCGGCTGCTCCGTCTGGTGGAGCTGCGGCGGGGACTCGGAAATCGGCTACTTCGGCCTGTCTCCGCCCAGAGCGCGCGCTTCGAGTGGGGGACTCCGGCGTCGGCCTCGGGCCAGCTCCCGCGCGCGGGTGGGAATGACGCCCCACGCGCGGGTGGGAATGACGCCCCGCAGAGCGGTTTCCGCAGTGTGCGATTACATCTCTGGACTACCCGAGCACCGTCACTTCCTTCTGTTTTCTGCCCGCTCTAGTAACTTATTCCGCTTCTGGCCTGGCTGTTTCCCTCTCGGTCTCTGGCCCTGTCCTCGCCCCGGCGTGACTTTTTCCAGGGCCGCTGTAGGAGGCTCACGCCGGAGCTCTGTTCCCATGAGGATCCCACTGGGGACTCCATCCCCGCCACCATGAACGGGGTCCTGATCCCCCACACGCCCATCGCTGTGGACTTTTGGAGCCTACGCCGGGCTGGCTCCGCACGGCTCTTTTTCCTGTCCCACATGCACTCGGACCACACCGTGGGGCTGTCTAGCACCTGGGCGCGGCCCCTCTACTGCTCCCCAATCACGGCTTTCCTCCTGCACCGTCACCTGCAGGTACCGCGAGCTGGAGTCGGGTTCCGAGCGCTGGTCCAGGCGTCCGGGTGGGACTTGAGATCTATCCCAGCCTTAGAGTCACAGCATTAAGGGCCAGGAGGACTGGTTATTAGAAATGCGGGAGTTATTTGAACCCAGAACTGCATCCCTAGCCAGGACAGGAGTGCGGCTTCCACCAGGTGGACTTGGGAATGGATCAGCTCTAAGCTGGGGAGATCGTTTAGTCCAAGGAAATTGTTCCTCCCTTTTCACAAAAGCTAGGCTAGTGTTTCCCAAACTTGCCTCATCGTTTGTGCCAGGTAGATACACAGATTCTCCACCACTTCCCTTTTCCCCCCATCTGATTCAGTAGATTTAGCCGGTTCAGGTCCTGGAAATCTGGTGGGATTTTTTTTTTTTTTTTTTTTTTAAGCAGGTACAACCAAGGGATTATGATCAGGAAAATTTGAGCATCGCTGACCAGACTGTTTTCTGGTCCCTTAATTTAGAATTGTACAGAGGGGGTGGGGTGGCGAGTGGGAGAAGGAGGAGGAGGACTTCATTCAGGAATCCGCATTACAGCTTCTGCTGCAAGGAGGCTCAGCTTTTGGTCAGCTTTCCGTCAGCTTTCCCTGATCTGTGCAAGGAACCTGGTCCAGGGAGGTATCAGGGAGGGCAGTTTGTGTTCACTGGTATGACCAACTGTTTCCTCAGGTATCTAAGCGATGGATCCGAGCCCTGGAGGTTGGTGAGAGCCATGTCCTGCCTCTGGATGAAATTGGGAGGGAGACCATGACTGTAACCTTGATGGATGCCAATCACTGCCCTGGCTCTGTCATGTTTCTCTTTGAAGGATACTTTGGAACCATCCTCTACACAGGTGGGCCTCCTGAGGGGTCCCTCCTTCCTTCTCAGCCTAGACACCACTTTTTTGAGCAGACTTCAAACAGAAGTCTGGAGGCCTTCTAGCTTCATCTCATATGAGCACTCACCTTTTCTCAGCTGATTTCTCACGCTTTAAGAGTCCAGATCTTGAGAAGGAACAGGAGAGAGGCATTTCCACAAGGAAGTTCTACTGTGCCCATTAGTTCAGTGTCAGACTCCAGGATAGTTTTCCACAGGCCAGTAAGCAAATGTCCATTTGATGTTGCCGGTGGGAGACTCGGCTTTTATCTTTTGTCTTTGACTCTCTGCCCGTAGGTGATTTTCGGTATACACCGTCCATGCTAAGGGAGCCCGCCCTGAAAGTGGGGAAGCAGATCCATACCTTATACCTAGACAACACCAACTGTAACCCAGAGCTGGTTCTTCCTTCCCAGCAAGAAGCCGCCCACCAGATTGTCGAGCTCATTCGAAAGCACCCACAGCATGACGTAAAGATTGGTGAGCGGTTTCCTTTCCTTTTTCTCTCATCCATAGGTAGTGCAGCTAGGTTCTTTGTGGGTGTCTCACATCTTTCAAGTCTTTGTGCGGCAGACCTCCGCTCCTCCATGAAACCTACGCTGACCACCTTATTTAAAATTGCCATCTGCCCACCATCCCTATTCCCACATCCCCAGCTCTTGATCGCCTACCAAGTTTTTCATTTTTTCCTTCTTCTTCTTCTTCGTCTTTTTTAAAAAAGATTTTACATATTTATTTTTAGAGAAAGGGGAAGGGAGAAAGAGACAGAGAGAAACATCAGTATGTGGTTGCCCCTCTTGTGCCATCTACAGGGGACCTGGCCTGCAACCCAGGCGTGTGCCCTGACTGGGAGTTGAACCAGCGACCCTTTGGTTCACAGGCTGGCACTCAATCCCCTGAGCCACACACCAGCCAGGACACTTTTTCATTTTTTCATAGCACTCATTGGCTTCCACTATACTCTATGTATGTTTTAATATGCTATTGCCTTTCGTTTATTATCTGTCCTCCACTCCCCTTGCCCCCACCCTCACCTAAACTCCTTGAGGGTGTGGATGAAAGTGGAAAGAAGTCTTGTGTGTTTGTGGAACAGAGAAGCAGCAGCCAGTTTGACAGGAACACAGTGGTGAGGAGGCTGGAAAGGCAGGAGGGACTGAAGTGCTTGTAAGAGACATTTTGAACTTTATCCTAAATGAAACCATTGTCCTTAGGACAAAAAACTTTGTTTCAAGTAGAAGAAGAACAATATTGCAATCATTGCCTTAAGGTAGATTCCATAATTTACATACTTACTGTATTCAGTTTTTGTTATCTGTTTCCCCCTGCTAGACTAGGAGTTCCACAATGACAGGGCTCTCATTAATTATGGATATACCCCTAATACCTGATGAAGCATTTTATAAATATTTGTTGCATGAGTGAATAGAATTTATCAGTATGGATACTCAAGTGAGTGTTGTGCTTAAAATTAGATACACTGAGAAGCCACCGGTATGCTTGTTCTAGCGTTTTCCACGAGAACACAAAATAGTTTGGGGACTCTTTTGGAATTGCCTTTTGAGATAGTTAATGAAAACCAATTTGTGTTTTCAAAAAGGCAATAGATTTAGTTCTAAATGACTTTTTTATTTGTTTCCCGAATTGTAATAAATCCACAAAAGGAAAAAGATTTGCCACCCTGGCGAATGTTATAAAAGGGTGGGCCCCAGCTTTGAAAAGAGTTTCAAAGTAGGGTTGAACAAAGGCCCTGAGGAAATTACAGGCCTTCCAGGGTGACTACCAAATTTATTGAGAAATACCCCTTTGTCTCAGGAGGGCTTAATTCCCCTGAAGAGCTATTGGTCCTACTACTCTTAGAGTTCCCATGCAGAGTTTTCCCAGAGGAGCTTGCTGGGTGGGTCTGTAGTAGGGCTCGGTTAATTTTGCAAGTACATCATAAGCCCCTCCTATGTGCCAACCATTCTGATAGGCAGTGGGATGGAAAGATGAATAAAATTAGGGCTTACAGTCTAGTAGTAAAGGACCTAAAAGGGGTTTAAAAAAAAAAAAAGCTGGGCTCGGGGGGATAGGGAGAGAGAAAAGAAAATCAGCTACATTTGTGCCTAAAGAGTGAGGCTTTGAACCATGGGAATAATGTGTATATAAAAAATACAAGTCCTTGAAAGGAGTGCACAGTCTGGTTGTGAATCTGAAATATACCTCCAGGAAAGGTCTGAGAACAACCGCTGGGCACGGTTCCCCTGTCTGTCACCATGGCCGTCAAAGTGCAGGCCTCCCTTTCTTTCTGTGTTGAGTATTGTTTGGGCCTTCTCGTTGCGACTTCTGCTTTCAGTGTCCCCCCCAGGCTGCTGAGTCACACTCTGCCCTGTTTTCTTAGCCAAAGCCCTGCCTGCTCTGATCATATTATTCCTATGGTTAGAATGAGCCATTTTCCCTTTTCACACTCTTCAATGACTCCCCTTCACTTACATAATGAAGTCTAAGTTCCTTAGCAGAACCTACAGTGCCCTCTGTGGCTTATTTACCTCTTTAGGATCACCTTTTATTTATTTATTTATTTATTTTTATTTATTTAAATATTTGTTCATTTTTTAGAGAGAGGGGAAGGGAGGAGGGAAGAGGGAGAGAAACATCGATTGGTTGCCTCTCGCACATGCCCCCGTGTGGGGGTGAATCCACATCCTAGACATGTCCCCTGACTGAATCAAACCAGCCACCTTTCACTTTGTGGGACGACGCCCAACCAACTGAGCCACACTGATCAGGGTGTGTCACTTTTTAAAATTAAATTTATTGGGGTGACATTGGTTAGTTACATATAAATTTCAGGTGTACAGTTCTATCGTGCATCATCCATATGTTGTATTGTGTGCTCACCACCCAAAGTCTAGTCTCCCTCCATTCACCCAATTCGAGGGGGGGGGGGCAAAAGTAGGTTTACAGTTGTGAGTACGTGAAACAGACTTAATTCTTATATTATATGTTTATTAATTATTGGATTTATTTGTATTGCAGCTGTGAACCTACTTTTTTCCACCCCTGTATTTGACCCCTTCCCCCCATTCCCCCTACCCCTCTGGTAACCACCATTCTGTTGTCTACATCTATGAGTTCATTTGTTTTGTTTGTTCATTTGCTGTTTTCTATTTTATATCCCACATATGAGTGTTCTTTTTTCATCTGACTTCTTTCACTTACTATGTTACTCTCAAGATCTATCCATATTGTTGCAAATGGCCATATTTTGTCTTTTCTTATGGTCAAGTAGTATTCCATTGTATAAATGTACCACATCTTCTTTATATAGTCATCCATTGAAAGTCTAGTGTCACTTCTTACCAGTTCCTTCTTTGTACTTTAGGAACACCAGCCTCTCTTAAAATTTAGTTCTAAGCGAACTTTTTTAGAACGGTTCCCTCCCATTCCCTTTCCTTGCCAGGTTAACTTGGACCCATCCTTTAACACTTAGTTCAGTGGTCATTTTCAGCAGAATTTTTCTAACTCTATCAAATGATAGATTCTTTTCTGTGCCCTCATAACACTGTGTGCATGCCTCTCACATTGTCCTTAACCCCGTGGTGTACCCGTTCCCATGCAGATCACACTCCTAGAGGACTGAGACTTGTCGTCACAGTGCCTGTCGCTTGGTAGATGCTTTCCTTTGTTGAAATGAATGAATGAGTGAGTTCGGTGTTAACTTCTCTGTCTACCCCATTTTCCATACACGTCTGTCACATGCCGTCCCATCCCTTATGTCTTCTGATTGCCCCATTCGTTTTGTGTATTTTTGTTGAACGTTTGGTTGATTTGGTAGCATTCCCAGTAGCCTCATTCTCTTCCTTCCCCTTCTTTCCCCAATCCCATTACCATTATTCAGGACTCTATAACCTGGGAAAGGAGTCCCTGCTGGAGCAGCTGGCCCTGGAGTTTCAGACCTGGGTGGTACTGAGCCCCCGGCGCCTGGAGTTGGTGCAGCTGTTGGGCCTGGCGGATGTGTTCACAGTGGAGGAGAAGGCCGGCCGCATCCATGCCGTGGACCACATGGAGATCTGCCATTCTGCCATGCTGCGCTGGAACCAGGCCCACCCTACTATTGCTATCCTTCCCACAAGCCGGAAAATCCACTGCTCCCACCCCAATACCCACGTCATCCCTTACTCCGACCATTCCTCCTACTTGGAGCTCCGCGCCTTTGTTGCAGCCCTGAAGCCTTGCCAGGTGGTGCCCATTGTCCGTCGACAGCCCTTTAAGGACTACTTCCAGGACAGCCTGAGCTCCAGGCTCTCGGTGCCCCTGATTCCAGTCTCTGTACAGCAATACATGAGTTCCTCCTCCAGAAAACCAAGAGTTCTATGGCTGTTAGAAAGGAGGCTCAAGAGACCAAGACCCCAGGGTGTCATGTTTGAATCTCTTGAGGAAAAGGCTGATCAATTTCAAGGTGACCAGGACTCAAAGGAGGCCAAGAACCAGAACCTTTCTGTGAGCCTTGAGAAGCAGCCCTGCCACCATTCTCTGCAGATCAAGAAGCAGTTGATCCCAGACCTCTGCAGCAAAGAGTGGGATGGGGCAGTCCCATTCTCTGAGTCCCAGAAGATGGCGACCGTATTGACTGCCCCCTTGGGTTTTTCAGTTCATTTAAGGTCTACAGATGAGGAATTTAACTCTCCGGAAACTGGGGAGGAAATTGGTGTAGGGCCCCACTTGGTTCCCAGGGGAGACAATGATGGCTCAGCAGCCTCTGGGAAACAGCACGTGGCGGGGGGCCAGGACTCACCCCTGTCTCATAGCAGCAAGGCTCTCTCTCTTCTGGCTCCTGAGTTCAGTAGCCTGACTCTAAAATACCTCCTGACTCCAGTGAACTTTTTCCAGGCGAGGTTCTCTTCCAGGGGTTTCGACCGGCAAGTGGAAGAATACCATAAATCCTTGCTAAAGCCCACACAGAGGAGAGTGCAGCCTTGTTTGATCCAGCACGACAGTTTGGAAGAGAGTGGATGATGGCTGGTGGGAGTTTGTTTAGGGCCTTTCCTGTCTTCGCAGGATCCTTTTGGGCTCATCCTGGAGCAACACTTCTTCAAGTGTGTTCGTTGGAAACCTAATGCCTATGGAATCTTTAGTTTATGGTTGACTGTTTGAAAGCGGTTTTCATTAAAACCCCTCCACAGTATGAGTCCATGGAAGATTCTAAGAAGGCCTGCATAATCATCTGTTTACATTTGTCTAATACAGTATTGCTCCAGCTTTTTAGAACATGCAGTCCTCTTAGGTGGCTGCAGAAAGAGTTAAAGAGTCTGAATCAAAAAGGCCCAGGTTATTCCCGTTGTTATTCTGTGTGCATTGTGCTATTTTCCTTGTCCCCGCCTCCCTTTTCCTAGACAGAAGTCCCTAGGTAGTTCTTTTTTTGTAATTAGGAATTGTGGTGGAGGATAAAGTGGTGATCCAGGCAGCATTTCCAATCCTGAATGTCACTGACTTGCTATGACCCCATCCAAGCGACTTCCTGTCTCTGCCTCTGGGAGGGAACAGGAAGTGATGACGAGCCTTGGAACAGTGGAGAAAAATTCCGTCTTTGCCTCCATGAGAGTTGGTGTCACTGGGGACCTACCTGGAACAGAGCCAGCTGGGGGATGGGGCACCCTCACTAAGGCAGTACCTGGAACCAGGCTTAGGGTATGATGGGCCTCCCAACTGCCTGGAGGCCCAGACTTTGAAATAAAGTTGCAAAAGATCAAATGTGCTGCCAGATATTCCTGATTGTTCACATAGCTGGGATATTTACTGCCTGCCTTCCCCCTCCCCCACGCCCTTGGGTTGAGTAGGGAGCCAGAGCACACAGCCTGTTTGTTTTAGTATCCAGGGCAGAGACCAAGGAGCCAGCTGGTGGAAGGGGTGGGGGTGCGTGGTTCTGCCCTGTCCTTCTGCTCGCAGCCTGATGAAATGCCAAGCCAATAAGCAGGACAGCAGATATCACAGGCTCGGAGGGGACACAGGCATGCAGAGCTGGGCACAGGGATAAAAACTGCTTCAGAAAGGATCCTCAAGGCTTTGTGATGAAGCCTCTGTTTCTTATCCAGGAAAAAACTTTTTTACTTTGGGAGGAAGATAGGAAGGATTTAGAAATCAAAATAGGGCCTTGCTCATGGGCAAAGTGTCCACGGCTGTGTTTTGTCAGCGACCTTCACTGTAACCACCCCCCGCCCCGTGGGCCCACTGGGAGCCGCAGCAGGTGAGGCCTATGGGGCAGCAGGAAGTAGGCATTGTCCTGGGCTTCAGTCCAGAGCACCCTGGGCCCATAGACTGCGTTAAACAGCAGATCCTCTGTTCCCCGTCTGCAGCACAGGCTGAGATACCCACCACCTCTCCTGGTTGCTGTGGAGGTCAGAAGTGGGGAGATTCCTCGCTCACTGCCTACCACATGATGGGTATTTGAAGTACTGGGACTCTTTGCCTCCGGTTCTTTAAAAAATTTATATGTAAAATTAGAAACTTTGAGAATCATATGAAAATATAAAGAAAAAATTATAATTCCTTCATGTATAGCAATTGTTTTAGGCCTTTTTTTGTGCATGTAAATATTAAATATATTTTTTTATTCAAAATTGGGGTAATACTGAATATAATTTTATATTCTGCAGGTTACTTAGTATCTTAAGCATTTCCTTGTATCATTAAATATTCAAAATGTAATTTTTAATAAATATTTTAATATGATGCCTTATATGGGTGTATCTTAAGTTACTTCTATAATATTCAAAATTTTGTATGTCCTTGTCCACAATTAATACATATTACAGTGACCATCCTTGTGCATATATCATGGTACTTTTAAAAAGTTTTTAAAAATTTTATTGATTTTTAGAGCAAGAGGGAGGGTGAAAAAGAAACATCGGTTTGTTGTTCCACTTATTGATGCATTCATTGATTGATTCCTGTATGTGCCCTGACTGGGGATCAAACCCACAACCTTGGCATAGCAGGATGACGTTCTAACCACTGACATACCCAGCCAGGGCTCATAGTACTTTCATTTATTAAATTACTTTAAGTGGGATTAAGTTTTAAGTTCTTGATGTACATTGTGTCCAGTTGCCCTCCAGAAAGGTTTTCTTACCGTCCTTTCTACAGAAGAGGCTAGCATTAAAATACCTCAAAGGCTCATTAAGTTCAAATGATGTTACTAGAATTGGAAGGTCATCGTTTGTGTTAATAGAGATTTCCTAAACTGTGGGCAAGGCTTAGCCTGGCTTCCCCTAGGCGCTTCTAGCTGTCTCACTTCCATGCTACCGAAAGGTGTCTGGTAGAGATAAGGTAGTCTTCAGTACAAGGCCTCCCAGGGTGGCTCTATCTCCTAGCAACAAGGGGACATATCCACTCTCGTCACATGCTGTGTCACCCATTTACCTTGAAGTGGGATCTATATGAATTCAAGAGGAGTAGGAGCAAAGAACTTTTAAGAAACTTGGTGGCTGGTGGCAAGTTTATGTACTAGTAATGGGAAAATTCCATACTATTCTAAAGTAAATTTGTCTGGCTTCTAATAGGGATTGGCATTTGCCTTATTTGTTTTGGTTTCTCAGTACTCCCATAAAAATGCTGCATGGCATGTATCTAAGTAGCCACTTTATTTTCAGAATCTAAGGATGACCCTCGTAGATCTATGAAGATCTTGCATCAGGCTTGAAGGTACTAGGAGAAAGGAAGTTCCCTAGAGATGAATTAGTTATTTGTTTCAGGATCTGTGGAAAACCTTGTACTTTTCCACAAGGTCACTTACTGACAGTGACTTAAGTCCCTTTAAAGAAGGAAATCTGCTTAACTGGCTTTGCAGGACCATCTCACTCCTGACTCAGACTTCCCTTTGTGGGAGGAAATAGGAGATAAGTGAGTGTGCTTGTTCAAGAAAAGGGATTTCTGCCCTGGCTGGGTAGCTTAGTTGGTTAGAGTGTAGTCCATACACCAACACTGCTGTTTGATCCCAGGTTAGGGCACAGACAAGAGTCAACCAATGAATGCATAAATAAGTGGAACAACAAATCGATCAATTTAAGTCTCGCTTTCTCTCTTCCCTACCCCTTCTCCCCTTGCTCTTAAAATCAATAAATTGAAAAAAAAAAAAGAGAGATTTGGATCTAGGTTCTCTATCTCAAGTCCACTCTCAGGGAGACAGTTCACTTTGCATTCTTAAAGCGGTCCTTAGCCCTGGCTGGTGTGGCTCTGTGGATTGAGTGCCGGCCTGTGAACCAAAGTGTTGCGGTTTGATATCTGATCAGGGCACATTCCTGGGTCGAGCAGGCAAGGAGACAACCACACATTGATGTTTCTCTCCGTCCCTTTCTTCCTCCTTTCCTCGCTCTCTAAAAATAAATAAATGAAATCTTTTTTTTTTTTTTTGGAGTGTCCTTATAAGCAGGAGAAATTCTTTTTGGGGGTCCATGTGTGCATATTTTGATGCTACCACTGGTGAGTAGGGGTCAGTCTGTTACCTGCCTCCCACCCCTCACCCTCCCTAACCACCACCAGAACAAGCTATTTTGTCTTGGGTTCCTGGTGCTTCCTTTCTGTTCTCCTGGGACATCCCACTGACATCGGTACAGAATGATTCTGCTTGCCTTTATAATGTTAAAATAGCAAGACAGAAACTGTCCAACCACATGGAACTTACACCCTAAAGGAGACAGTATAAATAAATACCAGGTAGTGAGAAGTGCTAAAAAGAAAATAAAACTGGCCAATAGTGTTGGGGGAAGTCAGATACGGGTTGAGGAAGGTGTCCACGGGATTGACATTAAGTTGCAACCTGAGTGATGGAAAAGAGCCATCAGGTGAAGACCTGGAGGGATCGTCAGCGCAAAGATCGTGTGATGGGCATGAACTCTGTGCCTGAGGAACATCAGGAAGAGCATGTGGCCAAGGGGGAGAAGAAAAGGCGGTCAGAGAGCGAGGCAGAGGTTGGGGCAGAAATGACTGATCAGCTAAAGTAAGAAGTTTGGGTTTTCTTTTTTTTTTTTCATTTTTAAAATTTATATTTTATGGATTATGCTATTACAGTCGTCTTGATTTTTCTCCCTTTGTTCCCCTCCACCCAGCAACACCTATGCCCTCAGGCAATCCCTCCACCATTGTTCATGTCCGTGGATCATGCGTATCAGTTCTTTGGCTACTCCATTTCCTATACTGTACTTTACATCCCATGGCTATTCTGTAACTACCTATTTGTACTTCTTACTCTCCTCACCTCTTTACCCATTCACACCCCCTCCCATCTAGCAACCTTCTGCTAACTTCTTTTCTCTTGCTACTTTTAAGAGTCTCTATCTTTAAACTTTGGCCTTTTAATTATGAGGTGTTTTAGAGTAGGCCTCTTTGCATCCATCATAATTGGGATTCTCTGCAACTCTTGGACTTGCATGTCTACTTCCTTCACCAAATTAGGGAAGTTTTCTTTCACTCTTTTTTCAAATAATTTCCAATTTCTTGCTCTTTCTCTTCTCCTTCTAGCATCCCTATGATGCAAATGTTGGACCTCTTAAAGTTGTCATAGAGGCTGCTTATACTATTCTATTTTTTTGGATTCTTTTTTCTTCTTGTTGCTCTGTGTAGTGTTTTTTTTTTTGCTTCCTTATGTTCCATATTGTTGGTTTCATTCTTGGCTTCATCCACTCTACTGTTGTTTCTCTGTAAGTTGTTATTTCCATTAGTGTACTATTTGTTTCTGAAAGGGTCTTTTTTATGCTGCTGAGGTCCTCACTAAGTGCCTTGAGCTTCCTTATAACCAATATTTTGAACCCTGCATCTGATAGCTTGCTTATCTCCATTTTATTTGGTTCTTTTTCTGGAGTTTTCATTCTGGATCTGTTCTTTCCTTTGGGCCATGTTTCTTTGTCTCCTCATTTTGGCAGCCTCCCTGTGCTTCTTTCTCTGTATTAGGCAGAGGTGCTTTGACTCCGTGTCTTGGTAGTGTGGCCTAATGTAGTAGGTGTCCTGTAGTGTCCAGTGGCATAGCCTCCCCTGTCACTCAAGCTGAGTACTCAAGGTGTGCTGTCCATGTGTGGGCTGAGTACACCCTCCTCTTGTAGTTGAGCCTTGGTTGCTGTTGGGGGATCAATGGGAGGGATTTACCCAGGCCAGTCAGCTGCCAAGGACTGGCTGTGACCACTGACCACCAACCTCCACCCCCCCATGGCGGATCAGCTGTGCAGGGGCAGGGTGGCGGTGCTCCCACATGGTCTGTAGCTGTCCAATGGTGGTGCTGACCCTGGGGTTTCCTGGGTGGTGCAGACCAAGGTCAGCCCCTACCTGTGTTGTGCCAGGAGCACCCTTCCCGAGCTGTAAAGGAATCTGAGATGGCTGCTACTTTTGCTGGGCTTGGAGATTCCCAGGTGAAGCCAAGCTGTGACTCTAATCTGGCTGCTACTAGGGCTCACTGAAGCCAGCTGTTGCTTGTTTGATAGGATTTAGGAGCCAAGATCAACCATTCTTATGGAAAAGCAGCTTGGGTGGGCCTGTAAGTTGGGTGGGGCAGAGCCTCCGTGGATCTCCAAAGTGAGTCAAACAGTGTTAGCCAGGTTAATGGAGTCTCAGATATGGCACCAGCTTACCGACTCCCTGCGGGGAGGGTTTAGCAAAGGGACAATGGCCTGTGCTTGCCTTGATGCCAGACACTTCAGTTTCTCCCCCTATACCACTGGTGCCTTTCAAGCTGCTACCCCAGTGCTGGAACTCAGAGGGAGTGAGTCTGAGTAGGTGAGTCCGCGTGTGGGTTCCCCAAGAGAAACTGCTTGGGGCTCTAGAATTTTCTTCCACCAACTCAATCAGTGCTGGTTTTTGCAGCCAGAAGTTGTGGGGATTTATTGCCTGGCACTGGAATCCTGGGCTGGGAGGCCTGGTGTGGGTCTGGGACTCCTCGCTCCCAAGATGTCCCTCCCCAATTTTTATCTATGTATGTTTGGGACCAGCCCATTCTTCATCTGCACCCCTCCTACCAGTCTGGATGGATGTGGTTTCTTTAATTCTGTAGTTGTCAGATTTTATTCAGCTCGATTTCTGTTATTCCTGAGTGATGGTTCGATATTTTAGTTGTAATTTTGATGTGGTTGTGCGAAGAGGCGAGCCATGTCTGCCTGTGCCACCATGTTGACTGGAAGTCCAGAAGCTTGGGTTTTCATTTTAGTGGAATGGCACTCTAATAAGAATGCTGAAGGGGAGTGATACGATCTGATACTTTTTTGAAAGCAATAGGTGGAGAATGGGGCTGCAATGAAAGCAGAAATACCAGTTAGAAAGCTCTTGCGGCAGTGAGGGGTAGTGGTGAACTGGACTGGGATTTTTGAAAGAAAGGGGCTACGTGTGGCGCTCAGATCTGATAAAATGTATTAGCATTAGTTCTTTAGCACAAGCATGTACAGGGACAAAGATAAACCTTTTCCTCCGCCAAAGGAGACATGTAGGTATAACCACATATAGACCCACAGATATTATACAGATGCACATATTTGGAGGGAATTAAGAAGGAGAAATGAATGAGTTTATTTATGACA